CAGTCGTTACTTTAAATTGTTAATAACTTTTGTACCTCTAGCCCATAAGTTGTTATTACCAGCCATTTTGTAAATTAAATCATTATTTAATAAATAAATTAATCTAGTAAATTATGTATGTTACTGTTTGAAAAAATAAAGGTCAAGTAAGGTTCATTTCGTCTAAGGGATGAACAATCAAATTACTTCATGATTAATAAATCAATAATTGAAAGAAATCAAAAAAATCATTATTATTATTATTTATTATACATTTATTAATTAAGTGGTTCGTGATAAATGAATCACACTGTATACAGTAAGTAAAAAATGTTGGTAAAGTTTTAAGTTTCTAGATCAACCCCTTCACGCGCCTCGGAAGCTTTGAAAATTGATAAAAATGGGTAGAAATTTAGTTTTTTATGTGTATATTTTGAATATTATTAATATAAAAAGTAACACTGGATAAATATTGCAGTAAATAATCTTGTCTAAAAAAACTTTTCTGTAACATTAACCGCTTAGTATAACAATAACACAGTAATAATTTTTTTCATAATCGTAGATTTTTTAACGTACACACATAATATATACATATTATGAATATTACAAATGCACAAATTAAAAAAATTACCACGTACTATTTAAATTTAAATTAAAAATAAAAAAGATAAGAACAAAATTTCTTGAAATACTGAACATTATTTTGTAGGTTTCATTCCATAATGTATTGTTATTATATTATAAATTAGACATTATCCTAATGAATTATGAAAAAAAAAATTTGTTTTTTGGTGGTACTTATTCTATAAAACAAAAATAACACTGACAGACACATATTTTAAAATATTGATGAACATATATTAGTATAATAAATATTTTACGCTGATTTCAAATCTGCTTTTAAAACTCATCTATCACATATAGTTTTTGAGATATTTATTTATTTGAAAAAATAAACAATGAAAATACACAAAAAAAAAAAACCCAGCACAGGGGGGTCGCGGCACAGTGGTGACGTGGCATAGTTGGATCAAGTATAATGATATCTGACAGTGATTAAAATCACTATCAAAAAAAAACGCTTCGATGCAAATCTTTAGATAGTGTTTAATTTTAAAAAATTGGTGGATTATTCCAAAAGCTTCATAAACTGCTAGTTCCTTATTAATATCCTGATTAAGACAAAGTATGTAGAATAAAAAAGAGATTATTAGAAAATAGTATTTCCCATAAAAAAATTATATTGATCAATACACTTTTCAATAAGTTATAGCATTATAATGTTAAAAATGTAAAAAATAAAATTGAGAATTTTCACACAATAATAGCATTTGGTAGCCATTTTCACCTTGAAGATAAAATAAAGTCCGAAATTTTTTTTTTCCATGATAAAGTATATTACATTAGCTTTAATTTAAGATATATATAAAAGTGTCAGACTTTCCGGAACACTTTCAAAATTTAAGTTGAAAAAGTCAATTTTTTGTGAAAAAGTTGTCATTTTGAATCCCCCCCTGTAGGCAGGTAAAAAGTCAGATTTATAAAAAAAATATACCAAATGATAGGTAAAGACATCATGCATCTACAAAAAAAAGAATTATATTGATCCATACATCTTTCGAGAAGTTATAGCATTATAAAGTTAAAAATATAAAAAAGAATTTTTTTACAAAAATCGTATTTTTTTTATTAAGTTTAATGTCTGTTTTCACCATGAAGATAAAATAAAGTCCGAAATTTTTTTTTACCATTATAAAGTATATTACATTAGCTTTAATTTAAGATATATATAAAAGTGTCAGACCTTCCGGAACACTTTCAAAAGTTACGTTGAAAAAGTTCTACTTTCTATATGCATTTTTATGTTTTGAATCCCCCCTGTATTTAGGGAAATGGTCCGATTTAAAAAAACAGTATGTCGAATGAAAGATCTATATAAATACTACTTCTCATAAAAAAATTGTAATGATTCATACATTTTTCAAAAAGTTATAGCATAATAAAGTTAAAAATGGAAAATACAAAATCGAAAATTTTCACACAAAAATAGCATTCGGTAGCCATTTTCACCATGAAGATAAGATAAAGTCCGAAATTTTTTTTTTTCATGATAAAGCATATTACATTAGCTTTAATTTAAGATATATATAAAAGTGTCAGACCTTCCGGAACATTTTCAAAATTTAAGTTAAAAAAATTAATTTTTTGTGAAAAAGTTGTCATTTTAAATCCCCCCTTGTGGGCAGGTTAAGGGTTAAATTTATGAAAAAAATATACCAAATGAAAGGTAATGATATTATGCATCTATATAAAAAAGAATTATATTGATATGTTTATTTTTGAAAAAGTTATGGCACTTTTAAGTAAAAAAAATTGAAAAAATTTCGAAAATTAGCGATTTTTAAATTTGTAATTTTTTTGGAGGTTTCCCCCTTTTACGGGGAACGAGGGAATTTTTTTCAATTTTTAAGGGTAATGTCTTCGACTAGATACGATTTGTGATCTTTTGACGTATCATTGAAAGAAATCGGTTCGGTGAGAGCTGAGAAAAAGTGGTAACAGACACAAAAAAAAAAACACATCTTAGTAAAACCAATACCTTCTCAGCTTCGCATCGAAGCTAATAATAGGAAAAATGTTTTTGTAATTTACTTTTGAAAATTATTTACAGTGATATGATATATATCATTTTATATTCTACAAAATGATTTTTTTTACGAAATTTGTGTTTCAAATAAACGCACTTTTCCTTTTTTCATATAAAGTCTATCACCAAAAATCCGTCTTGTATACCACTGATCGCAACTTAAACACAAAAATATTTTGAAAATGTCCCCAAGTGGACAAAACAATGACAACAAATGGCTTTTCCAGAAAAGTCGGCATTGGAAAGTGCCTCCATTAATCTCAACTCATCGAACGAATCAGCTACACACTCGTCTAGGACTTATATATATTATACACACAATTCTTCGCAAAGCAGATTAAAACTATGTCGTTTCATCCATTTTAATCCTAGAATACTGACCGTACACATAATTTATAAAAATAAAATAACAGTATCTGCGAGTATGTACATGTAGTAACCAAAGTTAACACCATTTACAAAAACTGTAAAATAAAAACCATTTAGAAACAAGACGGACTTGTCCGTGACGAATGACTGATCCCTTGGGAGAATATTGTTATAACACTCAATGCAATTCCATCCATAAACATAAAGTATCTCTCATTATAATAGAAAAAAATAGATTTATTCCTTTATCATGAGTGCCGCCTTCTTTACAACTAATTGAGGCGAACTGAAAAAATAAATTGCTCAAGATAATAAAAAAATGATCAAAATAAATAATTTTTGAGAAGTATCTTAAAAATATCATCTTTGTACAAAAATGCATTTAATAATTTTACGTCCTAATGTAAAATTTGATCTAATAAAACAAATAATTAATTCAAATAAGTTGTTTTATTAATTTTTGATTTTACAAATACAAACACATACACAGATATAACACTAAACTCAAAATGCAAGTGTGATTAGTGGCATAACAAAAATTTGAATTTTATATGAGATATACAACAATAAGAATGGCACAATAATATCAATTTTGAAAAAAAAAAAGAAACTTGCATTATATTTTTCGTATACTCTCCATATAAGTTCAATAAAAAATCGAAGCATCCCCAGATAAGGGGGAAGGGGCATGGGAGCCAAACACCCGAAGTCTACAACCAAAAGAGACTCATCTCAAATTTTCCTAGCTTAGTCATGAATTGCGACAGTATTTTTGCTCGTCACTTTTTTTACGATAGCAATATCTTCCATAGGAGGGTCCCCTCAAGGTACCACCCCGGGGTCCTTATAGTTCTTAATCAGTCCTGCGGAGCATACTTGTTTTAGAAAAAAAACTTTTGCTGAGTTAAAGATCATTGGAAGAACTAAACCATCTTTGTGTAAGACATTTTTTGATAAAATTGATTATTTGTTATTGAAAATTCACTAGATATTTCGTACCACAAGTTCATGAGGTGTCCCAACAAATATTTACAATCATAATTATTATATAAAATTATTGTTACTTTGTGTTTTGTGAAAAATATATAAATCTAGCACCAGGAGCTTATAAAGACTATCGTATGCGATAATGTGCCAAGGTGTCTCAAGGCGTCCAATGTCTCGCAAACAATTTTTAAATGGCCACCAATATTCAAATTGTATCTATTCTTATGAAATCCTGATACTAACATTTTAACTTTCATTCGAAACTCTAAACTATAACATTTTAAAACAACCTATTTTAATTTTTACGTTACACAATTGACAATATATTTATCAAAGTAGTTTTTAAAAACTATCTTAGTATATTGAATGTTTAGGGCAAATTTAGTGAGGCACGCAACATTTTTTTTTTTTTTTATTTTGAATAGTTGATAAAATAAATTTAATTACCTATTGCAAATTGTAATTATTTAAACATGTAATTATTTTCACAATTAAAGGTTTTACACTTAGCCTCCCCATTGGGCACATCCTTGATTTCACAATTATGACCGTTCAGAAATTAATTAAATCGGTTGATTATTAAAGCACTTAATCCAGCACTGAATCCTAGTAAACGAAACTACATAAATCAATGCTTTATTTTTAACTCGGCAACGAGTTGCTGCCATTGATTTCTTATCTAAACTGTTTCGAATTGAAAAGGTGTGCATTTGTTTACAACTGACATGTCGTGTATTAGTTCAGTGGAGTGCGTTGATAAAGATAGATCCCCAGAATAAAGTCATTTACATGATAAAGATACAATTTTTTTATCTGGATTGGATAGTAAGTTTTTCTTGTGTACATCCAAACCATAACTACGCCACTTTGTTAGATTGCTTATTCGGTTTACTACAGAGACTCGTGCAAATGTAATCTAGACAGCATACTTGAAATTAAATTTAAAATCCTCTATTAACAATTATATTAACAATGTCCATGTATCAAACGTAACTAATACTATTTTATTTTACAGAACTACAGGGTGACATACCATTTGGTAAAAGTTCCAAAAATAAAGTGGCTATGTCATCGGCGTGTCCAAAACATATGCATATAGTCACCGTGGCAGCATTAACAGTAATTTGGGCAAAGGCGATAGGTTAAATAACCTTTCAGATGAATTTCATTGTTCAATTAAATGTATTTTTTATACTATGTATATTATCTAAATAATTGTGTCACGAGAATATGCTTACCTATTTTCTATTAAATAGGTATTCATCGCTCATCAACAGACTGGACGTCTACTGTGATTGTTAAATTTATATTATAACTAATTTACTATTGTAAAGATGATCAACTTGTCCACTTGTTATACAATGATCTTCATTTTGTAAATTTCTATTACGCGTATTTTTCAACCTTTTGTTATCAATTTTAAAAGTGAAAACTTCATTGTTTTAATTATTGAATAATGTACAATAAGACTAATATTATACTATAAAAAATGCTTTTGGGATATTTTTTCCCTTTAAATAGTTCTATTTAGTATAAATAAAAGAAAAAAAAGATAAAATTTAATATACAGAGTATTGTATTCAATAAATTAAAAATATGTATTCAAAGAAAAAAACCACATTAAATTTAAATGATAGTTTATAACTCACTATTATTATATCGAGATTATCAAATAATACACACTGCATTGAAAAGAGCGCCTAAGTGTAATTTTTGATATTATCATTATCGTATATCACCATATTTTTACCCGAAAAAATGTTTCAGTTATTTGTACACAGTATTGTTCAAAGTAGATATGCCAAAGCTGAATCATTGTATTCTTTTTTGCAACTAGTTTAACACAATTATGTCCCACTGGAGAAATTATTGTACCCTTTGTACCTAAAATATCTTTTGTTGAATAGCTTCCATACATTCTAAACTTTATAAAGTGGTTTCTCTTTTGTAATACTTAATACTTTAAATTGTTAATAAAAATAAATAAATGAAAATTTATTCTGTTCATTTTGAAGAAAATTCCATTGTTAACAAGTAAATAATGTGTATTATACTTAACAAAACATACTGTATCTGTGTAAAATCATCAAAACAATTTCAAGAGTGTTGCAAATGTACATTAATTTATAAAATTAAAATTAACTTAATATTAATGTATTAACTTATATGAAATAACTAAGGACAATATATTTAATTACCCTATGAGCTTTGGATTCATCAAACAATTTAATAATTGTCATATTTTTAAGATAAATAAACAGTTTTTAAACACTAAAATATATATAAATATATTACTCCATCACTCAAGTGTACTATAAAAAAAAACAGAACGAAATACCAAGAATAAAATTATAACAAAAATAGTGTAAATACAAAAACTCTATTTTTACATGCATTATTACAAAATGCAAACCAAAGTAATACAAATTAACAAGCACTTAAAATCATGTAAATTGTCACATTGGAAAAGAATAGTCAAATATCTGAATACATTTTTTTATATAGATATTAAATTAAAAATTCGTTATGATTACAAATAGAATAGATAAATTTACAAGACTAGTTTTTATAGAGTTCATTATTTAACATCAACTTTTTCAGTGTCCATATCTGTTTCTCCAACACCATTTGAAGTATCTTCACTTTTAATTTCAACACTTGGATTAGTAATAGAGTCAGTGATATCGTCTTTTTTATCTTTTTTCTTATTGTCACCTAGAAGAAAGACACATGCATTTATTCAGTTTATGATTTGAAAATTAATAATCAAATATGTAATACCATCTTCTGCCTCATTTCCTTCCCCAGTAGATCCTTCACGTCGACGTTTGCGAGTATATCGTGATTGTTTGATAGGTAACAATTCCATTCCTAATACTTTATTAACTTGCCGGAATGCCAATAAACGTAACACATTCTAAAAAATATATAAGATGTTTTGAATAATAATCAAAAAAATATGTACAAAACATATCCAAAAATTAACTAGTACTAAATAATGCCAAAAAATAAAAACATCATAGAACTTGACTTAAATTATAATGTAAAAACCTCCACTAAAACTTAAAATAAACTACAAAATATCTTAGTAACAGTTTTTCATGAATTATAATTTAGATGAAAGCTAAGATTATATAATTCTGACCAAGTACTATTATCCAAATGAAGATAGCCAAAATTATATCATAGTAAGACGCTACCTAAAGTTAAATAATATTTTATTAGAAATGAAATGTTGACTTCATGGCTATTTAATATTAAGGTTGTCTAGTTGGTTGGTGTAAACCCAATCAGCCAATTTAGAAGATAACATGAATTTATGTATTTATTTAAATTGCTTGGTACAGTGGTTTTTCACTTGTCTTCTGTATTAGACATAGTATTAAGTTAATAAAATAATATATATTAAAATTATTAAATTTTTCTTTTATATTGTGATACTTATTTTTTGACATCATTGTTAAAAAAATATCAAAAATTCTGCATTCAACCAACAACATTGAAATCCAAACAATTTTTTTAAATATTGTGTTAAAGAATTGATCATATTTGAGAACTTGACAAATATTAAATGCATAGAATTTATGAAATTACATATTTAAAATTATAATCTTTAGCTAGATACAATAAATAATTAATTGAATAATATCTATAATCATTTATAGATTTAACAAAAACTGAAAAGTAGTTAAATAAAAAAAAAAAAATACATTAGGTAAAAATTGCTTGAATTCAGAAAAAATACACATGTTCATCAACTCAAGAGATTATCAGAGTGAGCTAGGTTTAAATAAGTATTTCATCATGGTAAAATAACAATACTTTTTTTTTCAATTTATACTAATAAATAGTTAAATTAATAAAATAGAAAATGAGCTCAGAAAGGTCATTCACATCAAACAATTATCAGAGTGAGCTAGGTTTAATGAGAATTTCATCATTGCTTTTTTTTCTGAACATATATTTACTAAAAAAATACAAATTGATGAAGAATCATATAATAGAAATTCAAATAACACAAATTATTAACAATTGCCTTAAAATAGATTATCATAGTACTAAGGGTAAATAATAATATAAACATAGTACTTTTAACATTTATTTTACCTGAGCTGACATAGTTATATCTTCACGTTCTTGCACTGTTAATGGAGCCAAAGCATCAACAGGGTCTTTTTCACATGGATCCACCAAATGAATTCCAGTAGCACCTGGTAACAATGCACCACTTGCAATAGCTTCAAAGAAACGCCTTAAAGATTCAGCAGGACTTAATCCACCAGCTGCATTTGGTGAATTAAGTGGAAAAGCACTGCTTAAAATACGTTCAACAGATAATTCCAACATCTGTAGAAAATATTTAAAATACAATAAATAAAGAAATCTTAAGAGTAAAGGCTTTTTTTTTTAGTTACATAAATTTTTTCTTTCAGATTAATATGTTATTAAATTTGTACATACAAAGTGTATCAGATATATATGTTATATACTGATTCATTTTAAAATAGTTTAATAAAATATTAATTAAAAACTAAAAGATATAAAAATATAAATATAAATATATATATATATGTATCTTAAAAAACCACAAGAATTAATAAAAAAAATGAAAGTATGTTTTTTGGGAATAATGTTATCATCATCAGAACTAAATACATACTGATTTCTAGTCATTTTTTTGAATTTGAATTAAACATTTTATAGTTTTAAATTAATATTTTAAATTTGAAATAATATTAACCACAAGTTATCAGTTATTTAAATTGTTTATTAACAAATTTATGCTTAAAACAAATAAATCACTTATTAGAATAAGCCACTAACTACAAATTTTAGTTTTTTGTTTTGAAATAATGAATACATATACTATTTTTCAAATAAGTATTCTCTATTAATTGATAATAAATTATTAGTAATAATCATTAGAGATGGTATGGAGTCAGTGACACAGAAGTGTGCACTGTATCAAAACTCAATCATGGGCGTCTTTATTTGACGAACGAGGGATCAGTTCAAATATTAGTGTTGCCATCCCTCTCACGACAAACTAATCACCCACTACAGAGTATTAATGGTTAAGAAACCTACTCCTTTAGGGAGACAGCATGACTCTTAATGGGCTTAATTAAAAAGTGGTATAAAAAATAATAATAATGATAACCATTAAATAAGTTTTAACCCGCAATTAGATTTAAAAATGAGCACTTGATAAGGCTCAATTTTTATAAATTTTAATTAAATTTATAATATTAATTAAATGAATAATTTGATCTGATCAACTTCATACTAAAAAAAATGTTTTGAATGTAAAATATAACATATTAAATAAAAACAATATTTACTTTGATAGAATTACAATACTTAATAGTAATTAATTAGTAGGAATATTACAGGTAACCAGCCTTCTATTTAAAACTCGAGTTTTAACTAGTACTCAGTTAGTAACATTTTTAACTGAAACTTTGACTTCAAGTACTTGATTTTTCCTTGTAAAACCTAAATAACTTACTTTTTTTAAATAACTCAAGTTTTAAACACTTTTCGTTTATAAGCATTTATTTACATATATATTACTTGGTATTTGAACATATCTTTACACAGTACTTAGTTTGTAAGAATATTTTTACCCATCATTTACGTAATACTCAGTGTATACAAATATTTTCTACCCAGATAATCTAAAGTAATTAATAAAAACTTCATATTTTTTTAACATAGTATCAACTAATTCAATAAAAACCTTTAAATAGTTAAATAAATTATGTTAGTTAGCTATAGTACACTTGAATGTGTTTAATGTCATTTTAATACAATTTCAAAAAAAAAAATTAATCATCAAGATAAAAAGATAACAAATTTTACTAAAATAATCTAATTTGTCTTTTGTTCCAATTAGTGATTCAAAAATTTACTGTAGTAAGTAGTATATACTATAGATTATCTGTATTTTATTAACAAAAATATTATTTTAAAATCCATGAATAAATTATAATAAGTTACTAACCCATGACGTAAATGGTTTCCACTGAAGTTCTCTTTTGATGAAATCTTTTAAAATACGAATAATCAATGGTCCATTAGCTATAGTTGCTAATCTAGCCTGCAAATAATTTAATAAAATAAATTTAAAGTATATCAATTAAAAAATGGTCAGTAAAAATAGAACGATAAATCTTCAAATACTGCTATGGTTTAATTATAGTTAAATTATTTATTTTTAATAATAAAATAAGATAGATTTAAGAGTTCTACAGATCACAGAATGCCATGGTCTATATGTATCACTGATTTATTCATTAAAAACACAATTAGGATGATATAAAATGTAGGTAATGACTCAATCCAATCTATCATAGAAACTTTTATGAAATATTATCTTAACCAATTGAGTGAAATTATAAAAATTAAAAGAACTCCACAAATGAAGTTAATAAAAAGTCATTCAAAATTCAACTAAAATTTTGGATATTGAACTTTTAGTCATAAAATAATCAAAAGTAAAAAATAACCTAATTATTAATTCGCTCTCATGTGAATCATATTTATTGACATTCATAATATAAAGCATAAATGAACAAAAGTTTTAAAAAATTGTTTATGCTTTATATTATAAATGTCAATAAATATGATTCACATGAAAACGAATTAATAAAAAATGGGACCATAAAAATAAAAATGATCGAGTTGGTTATTAACATAAAATAATTATTAGTAATGGTTACCAACCTTAATTGGTTGAATTGACCAAACCCAAACTCAATAATCCAATTATTTAATCAATCTCTAACCAAAAATTAACTTTTATCATTTTCAGGTAAAACATTTCTTAAACATTATTCAAAAAATTTAAGGTGATATTTAATTATACTAGTTCAATATTCAGATTGATTTATAAGGAATTAGTTCCTGAATGAAAATTTAATTGTTGGAACATTACAAATAATTATCTCATAAAATTTGTTTTTCTTAGAAACTTGTATGCAATATTAATGAAATTAACATAAATTTCAAGATACTAATAAGAATGGCTAAGGGACCCTATCAGTAGTAAATAAAGTAAATTTGATTAGTTTATTTTATTTATACTGCTATTCATTTATATACATTAAAAATTTAATTAATAAAAAAAAATTAATTCCTAAGAACCTAATGTCAATATTCCTTCCTTATCATTTATTATTTTATTTAAAATCCCCCCATCTAAAAATGATAAGTTCAATATATTAACCTTAAAATGTATGTAAATTTGATTTTTGGTTTGATAATAGTTGCAATTTGAAAAATTGTGTTTTAAATTTAGAGTAATAATTATTATCTATAAAATTAGTTTTGAATTTATACTCTTGACCCATAAGCTTAAACATTTAATTAATATTACTTATAACACCATTATATAATAAAAAAATATATAATTTATAATTTTGAAAATCTAAAATGCAGTAATCAAAGAGTTAATATTCTATATCAAGTAATTTTAACATTAAAAAAGTGCATCCATAACTAATTAAGAATTATCGAGAAGACATTTTTTAAAATATTTAAATAAATTACATAATTTTTGTTTTTATAATTCTATCTTTGATACAACTATTTATTTAAATGCAAAATTAATCTTTAAGTTATACAAATTACTCCACAGTTTTAAGGGATACACTTTAATAATAAAATACAATGATAATTCAACGATATTTATTTGAGAACCTTATTCACTATTTGTTGAAATTGCTAAATATTTAAAATATAGAATACTTTTATATTAATATTTATATTCAAATATATAGAAACATGATTTGAGATAAATGCAACTGTAAGTATATGCATATTTTTTGTACTTTCCAGCCTTGTACATTCGGTTATTCTTAAAATCAGGAAAAAAAAGTTTATACCGAACCACCAAGGATGTGTGCTTAAATATTTTAATTCAACATTTGATTCAAATTATTGTAATAAGAAATAAAGCATGAATTTTACAAAATAAAAATAACTAATATATCTTGCATAAAAATTAGATTGCTTATTTATGGAATATGTTTATAGTATATTTTCTTTATTTCTAATTGATAGCAGTATGTTATGATAATTAACATCACACCATAACAAAAACCACAAACACACACTGCACACATCCATCTCTTTTGTACATTCGTGCATTATAGGGACACCACCCTATTGTTGTAAGTAGCATTATTCAGGTGCCCCGCAAAGCACACGATTATACAGCAGTGTACTTTTCAAGTATAAACAATTAAGTATATTAAATAAAGTTATTAAATACATACAAATAACTATGTTCTACTAATAATATCTTATTATTTTAAATCTAGTAAAAAAAAAAAAAAAAAAAATTATATCATATTTGCTTATGGCAAATATGACAAACTGGTCGCTAAGCTGGAAAGTAATAAATAAATAGGCAAACCTGAAACCATTTGGCATGCCTGATAGCAGCCAATGCTTCCAAACATTTTGACTTGTCCAAAACGTGTTCGCCAGGCACAATGGCCACTGGTTCCGTCTGTTCGCTTTCTACAATAAAACCCCAAAAAAAAAAAATTCTCAGTATAGTATTTCCCAAAGAGTGTTTGACCATTAAAATAAAATAAATACTGTTTAATACAAGCATTTAAAATATAAAAGTGCACATGTTTAATAATCATGTTATAAGTTCTTTTAACATAATCTACATGTAAGAAGTAACTTCATTTTATCACTGTACTCACATCATTACTTATATCACATTATATGTAAAAATATATACACACAAACTTATAATTAATATATTTGTTAATTATTTGTAAACCATTACTTGGTAATACCTTTATTTTACATAAAAACTGTTATTAACCAATTTTTTGTTTTAATCGGTTATGGTATTAAGGCACAAAATAATTTCTAGCATCATTAAATTAACTATAATCTAATAATTTAATAGTAAAAAAATACTTTTAATTTAACAGATGTCCCGCCAAGTTTTGATGTCCTTATAACTTTTGTTTCAGGGAATATTTCACATTATTATTTTTTTTTTATTAGATAATTTTTACAAGTTAGAAATATTTTAAAAGCACATTTTTTATTATTGTCTCTAACAACAAAAATCATAAAGGAAGACTAAGATTGCAATACATAAGTCATATAATAGAAGATCAAGAATATAATTCATAGCAAGAGTTGAAGAGGAAGGTAGTTATAGAGAACATGGAAGTTGCTGCAAACCAATCATTAGATTAAATACTGCAGAAGAACAAAAAAATAATAATTAATTTTTTCAAATTTTCATTAAGGCTATTTATTTTATTTTAACTTCTTTTTTACAAAAAATTGATGAATTGTTGATAAGCACTTTACGATAAATACTTTAAGAGTTACAAGTATTTGAATACATAAAGTAAGATGTAGCATCAGTGGGTACAACTCATACTTGCATTTATAATACGTACTCTGTACATACAAAAACTGTACTATTTGTATATTCAGTAATAATTACAATAAAAAAAATTATAAATAATTAACAAGAACCACCAACTGTTTTAACATCAAATATAATTTCTTGATTTTTTTTTACATAAGTGAAGGAATTTATTTGATAATAACTACAGAAAAATCACCTTTTTTGAAAAATAAACTTTTGTTTAGATATATAGTAAAAAGCTAAAATCATGTAATCAATAACACATTTTCATAAATTATTCAGACTAAAAATGTAGTTTTAGCCTTTAAAAATGTACCTTCTTATAAATAAACACTCAGACTTTTTAACTAGTTAGAGAAAAATTGATGAATTTGAAACATTGAATGTTAATTTTAAATGTTAAAAATAAAATATTAAATATAAGTACTAAACAAGGAAGAATTTAAGAAATAGTTAATTATAAATAATTGTTTAAAAGATTCAACTAAAAAAATTAAGTCAAAATAAAAAGGAGAAAAATTAAGAATAACACATGATTCAAATAAAATTGTTAATTTAACTTTCCAAAACTCGTTCAATTATATGTGTAAATGTGAATATATATGTGTACAGTAAATGCATTTTATTTACTCCAGTTTTTATGGTCAAAAACCCTTACTTTGATATTAGAATAATTAAAGAACTTTTGTTGTAATATTTTTACTACTATAACATATACTCAATATATCTCATCACAAAATAGGCCATCATGCCTAATGATTAACTAAAAAAGCACATTTTTAAAAACATAATTTAAATTAACTTGCAACAGTGTACTTACCTCCTTCGGCAGCATTTAAAATGGCTTCTCTTACTATTGGCGAAGTAAATAAAACATTCACAACAAATTTCTCCTCTTCTAAAACTATTTCAACAGTCAGTTTAGCTTCAGTTTCATATTTATTCACAGTATATGCATCATCTTTAGCAACTATCTAATAATAGTACAATTGATATTAATACTAACTTGCTTATTCAAGTGAAACATTCAGATATTACCTTTAATTTATCTGGTAGAACAGCAGTAATAGAATTTAATAATGGTATGGTAGGATGTGTTGAACATACTATGACCAAATCTACTTCATTTTCATTAATTAGAAGTAAACCTTTTGAAAGAGCTCCTACACGCATTGAACCAGTCATAACTTTTTGTAGTTTTGTATCATCTTTTTCATTAGTGAAAGTAAACCTTAAAAATAAATGTTAAATATTACAAAAACTTAAGAATTTTATAATTAAGTAAAAAGAATATACATTGATCCATCTCGACCATCCTCTTTAGAAGTCGGAAGTTTTTTTCCAGGTGATTCTTTATTAGTAGTCTCTAGATTTTCAGAATCTTGAGTATCATTATCATTCTCTGAAGTTTCTAAAATTAAAATATTATTTAATTTATTAATAATTGTACATAATTAGAATCTTTACTTGTATTTGTTAAATCTTCAGCAACCAGTTTTAATGCTTTTTCAGTGTCTGAAATCGCTTTTTGTAATGTTTTTAAAGATGTTTGCTTAGGGAAAAGACTGGAATGTTTTGCCATAATATGCTTGTCATCTACAGTATCATAGCGACGCATTGAATTATGTATTTGTGGTCTCATGCCAAATTTAACCTGTAAAAAAAATATAATTTGAATTAAAAAAATTAAATGTATTTAAAAGTATTTAAAAACCTATAATACTTAACAAGCATACCATGTGAGGTGGAGGTGGACGAGCATTCATCATTGCTGGTGGACCAAAAAGAGGTGGTGGACCCATACCTAACCCTCTAGGACCAACAGTTCTACACCAATCATAATACTCAACTTCTTCCTGATATCGTCTTCGATCATCCCATGAATACCGATCATCCATTTCCATGAAACGATCAACCCAAAAGTTTGGTCTAATAAGTAACCATTAAATTTAAAGTAAATACTATTGCAAACAGTAAAATAATAAATTAAATTTTAACAGTTCCTAGCTTTTGTTAACATAACTCAGTATAAATTATGACTTCAATAAAATATAGTATAAATAATTTAAATAAAAAATAATTTTGAATTAATTTATACTTATTTTCAGACTCGTCATCTAAATATTCATCATCAAAGTGATATTTATTAAACAATTTTACATGTGTTTTAATGAGAAAATTAATCAATTATGCATATTTCTGATATAAATATAATAATTTTATGTTATATATTATTACATAATAATATAACGTTTGATATAAAATTTTAATTATTAAGAACACAATCACCAATTTTTTTTGTTAAATAATGTTAATTAATAAAATCATAATAAATGAAATTTATTTTTAGAAAGAACTGAAATAAATTTAAAGTTTATATTTATTATAAAAATAAAATTATTTCTAAGGGTCATCAGTTAAATTTTTTACATTCTGTATACATAAGTCTAATAACAATTATTAATTTATTTTTTTAATTTAACATTAATCATAAGTTTAATATCTGAAATTATTTTAAAATAAGTTTAGTTATTATCGAGGTGGACATAATGCCCGTGCACTCAGACCTGTTGGTCCATTGAGCGCTTAAAATAACATAAATATATGACATCATATTTGTATTTAAATATCAGAAAATTACTTCTTAAATTAAAATAAATGGATATATTAACAAAAAAAGAAACAGTAACTCAACTTTACACAAGAAGGAATAAATATATTCTCAAACTAAACTTTAATTATCAATTATTTAAAAAAGTTCAATTCAGATTTTTTTTAATTTCTGTTATTATAATAAAAGTACTAAAATCTATAATTTAAAACACAATAACTTAAAATAATTATAATTTAAAACCCTAATTATTTATTTTGCATATTTTGATATGCTAATTTTAACAACTAAATCGTCAGATAAACTATGACTTCAAACTATAAAGTATAGGCCACGAAAAACAAAATACTTGTTTTTTTTGGGTTCTATACTTCAATCAGACTCGTCATCTATTTATATCATCACAGTATATAAAATCTCTGAATTAGAAACTTCCATCATTCAACCAATGATGGACATCATATAAAACAAACTTTATTTTGAAAGATTACACAAATTTGAGAATGAAAATGAAAATTAACATTACCTGTCATCTCTAACTCTAGCACCTTCATGAGAATTCTTATTGTCTTTTTGCATCCTACGAGTTTCAAACCAACTGGGTTTTAATTCAACTATTAAACTGGGATCAACTTTTTTCTTGTAAGAAAGTCTGTGTCTTCTACCTTTCATATGCATCTCTTTAGCATTTGGATCATTAAATTTACATTCACATAGTTTGCAATTAAAGCTCACCATTTTACCTAATAATTCAAATTAAAAAAAAAATTGATATTTATTTCATGGATCCAATGACAATATTACAATTTTAATTTGTTTAAAAAATATAATAAGGGAAATTTTCATATAAATTTAAACATATAATAAATAATACAAATTCCATGATTTTAATTTTAGTAAGAATTTTATGTTTATTCTATATTTTATAAAAATTATGTATCAGACGAACATAACTATAATAAATAGTACTCAATTAAATCATAATAATTATAACCTAACAAAACAATTATACTTTTAATAATAAACACATTAGGGTAATGTTTGTATTAAAAATATAATAATAAATAATAAAATATTTTAGAATCACATAATATACAGAGTTATCTATTTATCATAAAATTTTTGGTTTTTTTAATTTTCTTATATATATATATATATATATCTAGATGGCACCACTTCCAGGGTCTGGAGATAGATAGTGGTATCAAGTACATAGAGGGAGATTAAATCAAGTCGTGAGTCGGCTAAGACGTGTCTCTATGTATATTCTGTAGTTTATAAGTGTATTCTGTTTTATATAATATTTCTGTGTTGTGTGAATATTTTATATAGAGTTTTCGTGCGTATTTAAATATATATG